AAAAGAACCTCCAGTGTAACACTACAGTGGCGATTTTATCTATAGATTGTTACCAATTGTGAGTGTTGGCGGGGGCAAGGAGATGGCAATTAATATTAAAACTCTACATCATGTATGGTATGTTTTATGTAATTATGCACATAAGCAACTGTATATACTTGAATGCCACATTATAGGCTCAAAATGGTTTTCAACACTTCATCCTCTTTATAAATGTTAAGTCTTGCTGTTTATTATAAAGAGCCAATGGTACTGTCTGGTTTCTAATTGATAAGTGACCAAGAGGATAGTAATTAGAGTAGGCAAAATCAAGCAATCACAAGATACTTCACAGATGTTTACAACATTTCCTAGATGTCCCAAGAGCTCCACAACATTCAAAAAAGGGATTCATTGTTCAAATAAGTTTGGGACATATTGACTTAAATACTATGTAACATTATCTTTACAATGGGATTACTCAGAAATGTTAAAACTGATATGTGCATTGTGAATTTCCTAAAGGCAGATACATTCTGATTCTTGCTTTTCCCAATCTGTTTGGGCATGTGAGGTTTTCTTGGGGGAGCTATGGTAAAGGCTGCATCACACAAACAGCTCAGGTTTATTCTCTACTTACGTACAGGAAAAAATATCTATTCTATGGAGTCTAGCCTAGCTGGAAAATGAATTTGCTCTTGAGTTTGGATAAGTATTTACCCACACTTCATAGACTCTATACCATCATGAAAAATACATTTTCCTTTCTAAAAAGAAAATACCACATGTTGCAGTACACAACAAAAACTCATCGATGTGACATACATTAAAAATCTGATAACATTATTTAGAAATACATATTTTCAAATACCACATTTTGAAATGCAACCATGACATTCTTAGACATACTCTTGAAAATATAATGAGCTCCTAAAACTGTATTTAGCTAAAATTTCAACCTCTTAAATATTTGGAAAGGTCAATTTTGATGTGATGAAGTATAATTTTGGCAATTCCTATTGTACAGCTGTTCCCAGGAAATATAACACTGCTGGTGCTGTAAACAACATATTTGATCAGATTCCCTTGAGTATTTCTTGTTCAAAATCTTTCAGAAAATGCTCAGATGCCCTGGGTTAGTGTAGCTTTTTCCTGCTGGCTTAAGCAATACCTTTGATTAGTAAATGGTTAACACACACTGCTCAACAGCAGCCTGCCTGGAGCCCAGTATACCCTAGATCCATGGAGAAAATGCACAGAGAAAGGAGCACCTTAAAAGGAAACCTTCGATTAAAAATTACATTTTTAAACAATAGTTGCACGGTATTTCCTCTATATTATATTAAGTGGCGGGGGGGGGAGCCCAAACAACTTAGATATAAACTTGTGTGCACAACATATCCACAATCGTATAAACACGAATATATACACAAAATAGTCTTTAAAAGATGTACAGAAAATTTAGGCCTAACCAAATGAGTTTGCTGAGTAAGCAAGTCAAAAAATAAATTACTGGCAATTTTGTATAGTTCAACTTGCAGATCAAAATGTTAATAGTGGTTTTAACTTGGGAATTGACAATAATTTTTAGTTATTTATTTATTTATTTAGGTGCTTTCACTTTTTTCCAAACTGTTCACAATGAGCATTCGTTGGTTTTTAAGTAACGCTTTTTTTTTTTTAAAGAAGAAATACAGAGGCAAAAACATGTTGCGAGATTAGATTGGTTATTGGAGAGAAAGATAAGAAACAGAAGGAAGGCTCCAGGCTCTGGTTTAGGAAGCATTTTCAAAAGTTGTATACAGAATGCAACATCTCACTATAAACGTGGCATGTAAGAAAAGGTCCTAGCAGACCATAACTTCAGGAAGAAACACCTGCTGCATTAAGTTTGAAAGAACCGTCTTCCTTTTGAGATCAAGTCGTGGGGCAGAAGGGTGTACCATCAACTGCACCAGGGATGAGGCACTATCGTAACAGAGATATTTGTATTATTCACGTAGTATCATTTTTCTTTCTCGCTTAAGATATTTTCACGCTCTTTAATTTGTGAGTACTCAGATTAAAATCCTGCACATAGCTATCACAGTTGTGTAAGTTGTATATTGCCTGTGTGTGGCTGAACAATCAATGCATTCTAATCACCTCACTTGGTCTTTCCAAAACAGAAGCACACGGGGAGATTCCTGCAGTCCCAGTGGCAGTTGATCAAAGAAGTGTCACTTTTCCCACTTGGTGGAGGCCCCAGTGTTGGACCAGGGGAGGAGTTTTTCTCCTAATTCATAGCTGATAACATAGAAGTATCTGTGTCTTCCCTTAGAAAAGTCCGCCTGGATCTTAGATTTCAGCGACTCTCAATTTTTGTAAAATAGAGGTGCCTACCTCACACAATTTTTTGAGAGTATGAAATAAAATAGCATATGTAAAGTGTATAGCAAACTTTGGACACATAAAAAGTGTTCAGTAACCGAATGTTACTATTATTATTTAATGAGGAAGTGCCCAAAGTGTGGCAGCAATAGCAGGCCCTCGCCTCACATGTCTTTTTTTCTTCAGGGTATCTGCCCCAGCTGTAAGCTCCATGCCTGGCTTATCTGAAAGGCTCCTTGCATTTTATCTGAGTTTAATACCTTTGCATTTCATTTTCCTCTTTAAAATTCCATTAATCCAACTGTATCTGAAATAGTCGTTACTTTGAAAGGTATTTTCTGAATTTTGGGCAATTAGACACTCATCTTGGGATTTAAAATTACACTAAATGTAAGTGCATCTGCAACTTACAAAGTCATTTCCACCTTTGTGTGAATTAAAACACACTACTGGCCAGGTGCAGTGGCTCACACCTGTAATCCCAGCACTCTGGGAAGCCAACGTGGACGGATCTCTTGAGGCAAAGAGTTCGAGACCAGCCAAGGCAACACAGGTAGAACTCATCCTTACAAAAAAATATTAAAAATTAAATTAGCCAGGTGTAGCGGCATGTGCCTACAGTCCCAGCGACGAGGGAGGCTGAATGAAGCAGGAGGATGGCTTGAGCCCAAGAGTTTGAGGCCTGTGCCACTGCACTCCAGTTTGGGCAACAGAGTGAGACTCTCTCTGAAAAAAAAAAAAAAACCAAAAAAGGAAAAAAAAAAAAAACAGGAAGAAAAAAGTCCACACTGCTATTATTTAACCACATACGATATCAGCTATCCTGAGAGAAAAACATCTTTTGTTGGATAAGGTAAAAGCTAGTTTCTTACTATCTAAAAGGAGGCATGAATCATTGGGAATCTGAGGTACAAGGAAAGAAATGATTAAGGAATTTAAGTCCAGGGTTTCTTTCTTCAGGGCTCAGTATAAACTTATTTTGTAAATAAGCATAGAAATTCCAACGAGCATTTCCACGTCTTCCAGCATAACCTGACAGTCACTGTCCCACATCACACACATAATGTAACGAACCCTTAAACTTGAATTTTCATTTAAAATTTCATGGTATATGTAACATTGCTCTTTTGTATCTTTAGGTTATTCATCCTCATAATGTTCTCCAACTTCTGTTCCAATGTGTTTAGTCCTAAGGGATCAATATGATTGTGAATGTTTTCAAAATAGGCAGCCGCTGCCCCGGGTTCTGCATTTCCGTATAACTCAGACTCTCTGACAGATTCACTTCTTGATAAATCTGACTAATCACCCTGCGTCACAAAACTTGGCCTTCAAGAGAGCACAGGTGGGATACACGGATATTTGAACGATCTTGTTCTTTTCTTTTTTTTTCTTAAATGCGAGGCGGTATCCTTCTTCACTATTGTTGTCAACACTTTACGTCTCTGAGTAGTGAGGGGAGTTATGTGCACACATGTGAGAGAAAAGGACAGAGATACAGGGAAAGAGAAACAGAGTGAGGCGGCATGAGACAGTAACAACCACGCAGGAGCAGAAAGACACTGTCAGGGAGGAAAGACAGAGACAGGCACACAGATACACACGTACTCAATGGCAGATATTTTTTCTTCTTCTCCCAAAGTATTTAGCTTACAGCTCCTTTGCTTTCATTCCCCTGTATCTGCTACTTTCGTCATCTAACATTACTCCACTTGAGCCCGAACCCCTTAGGCTTCTACTTTTTGTGTGTGTTGGTGGGGGCTGACTGTGAATTCTGCTTTTTTATGTGGTATTTGCGATTGGGAGACATTTCAAATACATATGCTATGTGATCATTGTTTTTCTATAACTACAAACCCTATATTTAAATATGCATAGAGATGTAACATTGTCTTAATTCTCTTTTTTAAAAAAAAAAAAATTACATGATTTCTTGCTCTGAAATTACTTGTTCTGCTCTAAGCTACTAGTCATTCGTGAGAGATAATCTCGAATGAGGCAGAAACAGCCTTAAGGGTGACTGAACGTTTGGTCTTTGCTTGTGCACACCCTGGGCACAGTATGTTCTTGGCAGAGCGAAACTCTGGGCTTCAGCTCTCTGCTCCCTGCTTAGGTTCTCCTAGGAGTGCTGAGAGAGCCACATGGAAAATGATGAAAGGACATCCCAAATCATATCTGCCTATATTGGGATAGAGTTTTCAGCACCATTCTCCTAATCTTGAGTTTATATCCAAGAAAGAAAAATAGCATACATCTCTGGTGCTTGCTTAATCCAGGCAGTGTCCATGAATTACCCCATGAAACCCTCCTGGTAATTCTGTATATGGCAAAGGGAGTGTTATTATCTTCCCTGTAATCAAGAAGGGGAAAACTAAGGTCTGGAAAAGTTAAGGAGCTCCCTCAAGATGGCCCAGTTAGCGAGCAGCACTGTCACAGCTGAGTCTGGGTCGTGCGGCTAGACTGCCGGAGCTCCTGACCACTGCGCTCTTCTGCTCAGCTGCTCGGTGAGTCGGTCCCACCTCACTCTACAAGGACACTCACAGTTGGGGGTAAGCTCCTCTGAGAACTAGGCATGATGGTCATCCTTTTAGGGGCATGCCTGCAGGGAATGGGAAAAGAAATCCTGGAGAAGAACAAAACTAGAAACTCACTGCTGCTGGGAGTGCTGGCGCGCCACCCTGTCCAAGTCGACATTTCTCAGTGCTTAGTGAAGAGTGAGGTTGGCAAGCAGTGAGGAACAGGCCGGTGTCTGTTTATCTGTGGGTTTGATTGCTTTTCCTTATCTGTCTGAAGAGGAGAACACACAATTTACAGAACAGAGAAAAAGATGTTTTCTGATTTAAGGAAAAGTTTTAAATCATAAAGAGGACCTTCCCAAACTCAAAAAGTCTTGAAATCCTTGGTTTATAAAAGTGACTATTCAATAAACAAAAGCGTGCACTAAAGCCATATGCAAATTAATAAAATTACCTACTAAAAACTAAACAAATGCTGGTTAATGTTATGTGATATTGTGTCTTATGACATACCAATTAAAATAAAAATTAAAGACTGGGCACGGTGGCTCATACCTGTAATACAAGTACTCTGGGAGCCTGAGACAGAAGGATTGCTTGAGCTCAGGAGTTCAAAACCAGCCTGAGAAAGAGTGAGACTTCGTCTCTACTAAAATATGAAAGAAATTATCTGGACAACTAAAAATATATTGAAAGAATTAGCCAGGCATGGTTGTGCATGCCTGTAGTCTCAGCTACTCGGGAGGCTGAGGCAGAAGGATTGCTGAAGCCTGGGAGTTTGAGGTTTGAGGTTGCTGTGAGCTAGGCTGATGCCACGGCACTCTAACCCGGGTAAAAGAACAAGACTCTGTCTCAAAAAATATATATATAAATTAAAAATCGGGCACATGTCTATGGAGAGAAAGGAACACTTATACACTGCTGGTGGGACTGCAAACTAATACAACCCCTAAGGAAAGTAGCATGGAGATACCTCAAAAAACTAAAAGTAGAGCTACCATTTGATTCAGCAATCCCACTACAAGGTATTTACCCATTGGAAAAAAAGACATTTTATAAAAAAGACACTTGCACTCGAATGTTTATTGCAGCAAAATTCACAATTGTAAAGATGTGGAAACAACCCAAGCGCCCATGAATTCATGAGTGGCTTAATAAAATGTAGTATATATATACACACCATGGAGTACTACTCAGCCATAAAAAAAATGGTAAACTAATACCTTTTGTAACAACCTGGATATTATGTAACCAAAATGTTTGTACCCTATAATATCCTGAAATTTTAAAAAAGTAAAACTATATGCAACTTAGAATAAATGAAATGTATTATTAAAAAAAAAAAATTGGCACATGCCATTAAGAGTCTTCCTTCCAAGAATCTTAGAGTAGTAGAAATTGTGTTTTTTCCTTTGGCATACTGAAATAATGAGATCGAAATAAGGCATGGTGTTTCCAACCCTGTCTTTAAGCGGACAGAGATACTGACTGCCAAGGTAATGAGGAGACGATAAAGATAGACAGTCAGATTACGGAGCAACAGGGCAACCTTAGCACCCCAGCTCTGTGACCCTGTCTGTAGTTAAGTCATTTTGTCAATAAGTCTACGTGTATAAATTCATCTACACAAAGTATAATCTTATGTATTGTACTTAGAATTATTAAAATCTATTACAATTTTTTTCTTAACTTCATTTTTTATCACCATCACATACATCACACCCACAATCTTAATTCAAACCCACTGATGATAAGTTTTCAGCGTATTTGTCTGCATTTGCCATATTAAAGCTCCAATGCAATAATTCCATTGCTCAGAAAGAAAAGACTCAAATTAAATTTTCTCTTAGATGCAAAAAACCATGTCACTTGCAAACCTTAGATTTGGCCAGTGTTTAATGGAGTGTCTATTCATATAATACTCTGCCTTTGAAAGTCACGCTGTCAAAATGAGCATATCAGAGTGTATCACATTTAATGTGTATAATGGATGAGAACTCAGTTTATAATTTTTAGATTTTTTCCAGAAGCTTAAATATATTTTCTTTCATCTTGTTAGATTCATTTTGTCAATGTCATTGCTTGGAAAGGGAAATAAAGCTAAATTCAAATTTATTTATTTGATTTGTAAAAAGCTTCATTGGAGGGAAAAAATTAAGGCATGGTTTGTAATCTGCTGTTAAAAAAAGTCATTACTATTTAGGTTTTAAAAAAAATTTGAGCCTTTCAGAGAGGTACAGAGAATGTGCATACTGGAGTCAGACAGCCTTGGTGTGAACCCTAGCTTTTCCACTTACTGACAACCTTGGGCAAGTGCCTTTCCTTTCTAAGTTTTCTCATTTTTAAATGGGATCACAATACACACAAGCTGTTGTGAGGACCAAATTGTTCAATGCATGCAAAGGGCTTAGAACAATGCCTTGTAAATAAAAGTGCTATCTACTTTCAGCAATTATTGTAAACTACATAAAGCTACAATGTTTTATAAATATATCACAGATTAGGAAGAGCATTAGAGAGAATTCAAAACCATGATGTGAGAAATGGGAAAGTAATATGCCATTAAAAATAAATTATAGTTATGATCATCTCAATATAAGGAATATATCTCAGTATCATAAAAGCTATATATGACAAACCCACAGCCAGCATCATACTGAATGGGGAAAAGTTTTAAGCATTACCACTAAGAACTGGAATAGGACAAGGGTGCCACTGTCTCCACTTCTACTCAAGATAGTGCTGGAAGTCCTAGCCAGGGCAATTAGGCAAGAGTAAGAAACAAAGGGTGTCAACATTGAGAAAGAAGAGGTCAAACTATCACTTTTCACTGATGATATTATCTTGTTCCTAGAAAACTCCAACAATTCCCTTAAGAGACTCTTAGAATTGATAAATAAATTCAGCAACATCTCAGGATATAAAATCAATGTACAAAAATCAGCAGCATTTCTATATAGCAATAACAGTCAAGCTGAGAGTCAAATCGAAGACTCCATACCATTCACAATAGCTACAAAGAAAATAAATACCTAGGATTATTCCTAACCAAGGAGGTAAAGGATCTCTACAAGGAGAACTACAAAACACTGAAGGAAGGAATTACAGGTGACCCAAACAAATGGAAAAACAGATCCTACTCATGGATTGGGAGAATTAACATTGCTAAAATGTCCATACTACCTGAAGTGATTTATAGATTCAATGCAGTCCCCATCAAAATACCAATGGTATATTTCACAGTTCTAGAAAAAATAATTCCATGCTTTGTTTAGAACTAAAAAAAATTAAAAGGCCAAAAAGCCAAAGCTATTCTGTAGATATTTGTTAGGTCTATTTGATTTAGAGTTTGGTTTAAGTCCATTGTTTCTTTATTTATTTTCTGCTTTGTTGATTTGTCAAGCTCTGATAGTGGGGTGTTGAGGTCGTGGCAATTACTATGGTGCTATATATTTCTTTGCTTAGCTCTAGTAAAATTTGCTTTATGTATCTGGGAGCTCCTGTGTTGGGTGCATACATATGTAGAATTGTTATGTTTTCTTGTTGAATTGCTCCCTTTACCATTATATAATGACCACCTTTGTCTTTCTTTACTAATGTTGATTTAAAGTCAATTTTATCTGATATGAGAATGGCTACACCTCCTTTCTTTTGATTTCCATTTGCATGGAATATTTTTTTTCCATTCCTTCACCTTGAATCTGTGTGTATCCTTGTGGTTTATATGTGTTTCCTGCTGACAGCAGATATCTGGGTGGTTTTTTTTTAAATCCATTTCAGTCAACATATATCTTTTGAGAGGAGCAATCCATCAGTTAACATTAATCGATAGCACTGACAGGTGGGACACTGGTTTGTTCATCTCGTTGTGTATTTCTTTATTGCTTTGTTTTACCTCTTGACCTCTTGTTGTTTTATAAGAGTTGTGGGTTTGGATTTTTTTTTTTTTTTAGGCGATTTTACTGGTGGGTATCTGTTATGCTGATTTGTGAATAATACTGTTCTGAATATTTGTAGTAGGCAGGTCTAGTCATGGCAAATTCCTTCAGTGTTTGCTTGTCTGAAAAATACTTAATTTCTCCATCAATTGTGAAATTTAGTTTTGCAGGGTATGAAATTCTAGGCTGGCAGTTGTTCTGCTTAAGTCGATTGAAGATGGAGCCCCAATCTCTTCTGGCTTGTAAGGTTTTAGCTCAGAAGTCTACATTTAGTCTTTATAGGTTATTTGATGCTTTTGTCTTGCTGCTTGCATAATTTTCTCCTTTAACTTTGACCAGGTAGACTACGAGGTGTCTTAGAGATGACTTATTTGCTATGAATTTTCCCAGTGTTCAATGTCCATTTTTTATCTGTATGTCTGAGTTTCTGGCAATATCAGGGAAGTTTTCCTCAATAATTTCTTCAAATAGCTTTTCCATGCTTTTAGCTCTTTCTTCTTCTCAGGGATACCTATAACTCAAATGTTTGTTCACTTCACATAGTCCCATATCTCAATCAGTCATTATTAGAATTTTTTATATTCATCTCTGCCTCTTTGAGTGACTGGGTTATCTTGAGAGCCCTGTCTTCAAGCTCTGAGATTGTTTCTTCTCCTTGGTTTAGTCTGTTTTTAAAGCTTTCTTCTGTGTTATGAAATTCTAGAAATGGCTCTTTCTTTTTTTTTTAAGTTCTATTATATCCTTTCTTATGTTGTCTAGCTTTCTAGTGACTTTTTCATTTTTTATTGATTTGCTGAAATATATTTTTTACTTCTATTTGTTGGTTTTTAACTTTCCCTTCAGTTGCATTCATCTTACTTGCCATGCATATTCTGAATTCCATTTCTGTCATTTCAGCTGTTTGAGATCCTCACTGATACCCTCTTTTACTTTTTCCTCTTCCTTCTCTGTTTCACAATTTTCCTCCATGAGGTACCCGGCAGGCTCTGGTATTTCTTCCTCTACCCTACATCTGAGCTGTGTCCTTTATCCCCTCTCCTTTACCTGAAATACTTCCTTCCCTCTGGGATGGTCCTGTAAGTGAAGCCTCTAGTCAGCCATCTTGCCCCTTATTATGTTGCTCTTGTTGATGACATCACTTACATGCATACACATACATCAACACTTCAAATTGCACACTTTAATATGTACAGTGTATAGTACATCAATTAGGCCTCAATAAAGCTGAAAAACAATAAATCAACTATAAGTTTCAATTTTCAGAATCATGCAACTTATGCAAACAGAAAATAAAGAAAAAAACGGGGCTCTGCACAAAAAATGATTTCCGATT